GGGTGAGGGAAAGAGATGTGGAGAGTACCCGTGCCCGTTCGTGAGGGGCTGTTTCAGATATGATGGCAATTACAGCGGGAAGGCGTCAACATTAACATCTGGAGATGCTCAGGCGCGTCCTTGAGCTTGAGAGCGCACAAAGAAACACGGAGCACATAGAGAAAGTGACCATGCATGTAAGTCATCGTATGACTGAGAAAGAGAGGGCCCTGGCCGTGAAGAAAGAGAACCGGTTCGCGAGAAAGACGAAGACTAAGTGACGCTTAGTGGGAGACTGTTTTCTTGTCCTCTAAAGCTAGTGCACCAGGCCGACGGGTGCGGCCAGGTACATTCGAAATTGGGTCCGTGAGATTGTGGACTGATGGTGGAAACATCCCAAGTGTGTGCAGAACGTGAGCCAGAAAGCGCCCTCTTCGTGGAGCGAAACGTATGTGCATGTAAGAACAGGAGTGCCTGTGAGATCATGTGTAACAGCGGGATGAAACTGCATGCGTGTGTGAGTGTGCGAGGGAGGCAGGAAAGAGAGTAAGTGAGGTTCTGATTACTTTATTCCGAAATTAATTAACCTGCGCATGAATGCGACCAGGTACATTCACAAATGAACTCGATAGTTCCCGCCAGCAGTAGGAAAACTCAGCGTCTATCATCGTGTAAGACAGGGAGGACGACAGGTGGAGCTAGGGTGCGTGATTCACAGAGTGGGGGAGAGAGAGAGCCGGGAGTAACGTCGACAGCTGGATGCTGTATCACTCATGAGTGACAAGAGGACTTCCGGGCAGCTTTTCCCTGCATGATCCTTGTCTAGTGGTCGTGGCTTCTCAGCTAAAGCATATAGTCAAGATCTGTTCTCATGGGATTCGACGGGCCTTCAGAACAGAGGCTTCAATTATTTGGACTCCTAAATGACCAAGATATGGACATAGCAGTATTAATTTCAAAACGAACTCTTGGTGTGGAAAAGCGGTAAAGTCATTCGAGAGCAGTGACAAGGCGTTCCTACGGGTTTAATTGTGGGACCACTGCTAGATTTTCTGTTGGGGTTTACTCTTGTCCCTGTTCACGTGGGATTGCTCGATAGCTCTCCCTCGCTGTGTTAAATACTCCGTCGTCTCTAGCTGTCGTTAATCGCTGTTAATGTCCTTCGAAACAGAGTTAATTTGGTGGCCTATTTCCGCAGGGTACATCACARCTTTATCCTTGCAAATCCGAGGATCTGCCGTAACGGCCTCGATCGGGGTTCGAGTGAGGTCTCGGACTTGCAAGCTAAATCAACTAAATTTATCTTGATATTATTATTCTCCTTTTTTTTACAGTACGCAGTCAATATCTTCCGAGTCAGTCTTTTAGTGGAAGCATGACAGGCAAATCGGAGCACCCCCCCCTGTTCCGCCGCTGAGGACCTCTGATGTGGGCACGACGGGTGACAGACGTCGCTGCCTCTGGCTTCAGCGACGGACAGGCGACCCCTCCCCGGGTTACCCCCACGACAACGGGATGGGGAGGAGGCTTCCCTACAGCTTGTGTTGACGATTGCTTCGACCCGGCCTACAAAGACAGATACCATGGAGGGAGTGGTTTCCGATACTGCATCGGAGAGGCCTAAACGATGGAGAGACACACGGGACATGGGATTAGATCTCCCATAAAAGGAGCTACCACTTATGATTGGGTCTGCCACTATAGTACCGATGCAGGAGCACGAGGAGCCTCAACCTGGGTGGCCGCGAGAGACGACACGGATGCATGATGATCTAGGGCATGATGGGCAGAGGATCCAGTCTCAGTCAGAGCCGCTAGTGGAGGATGGTGAGAGAGGTGCGATGGGACATTCATCATTGGACGGATCGACACTACTGAGCGAGAGTCGATTGGCTAAGCAGCCAACTAAGCCTGAGGGTTCATTGACTGCCCAACTATATGACATGGAGTCTTCTAGGATGCAGGTACGACATGAGGTATCCCAACCATCGACCATGGATATAGAGACAGAGCAGGTTGAGGCCGAGGTGTTGGGGTTAGACAGGGGGGATCCCACAGAGGGTATACAAACCCAGCAAGTGGGATCGTCACCTCAGGACTTTGGGGATACTCCTCGACGAGATGGTGATAGGAGTGAGGCCATCATGAGGGGCCACGTTGAGGCAGGCCCGAAGCATACCCAGGACACATCTCCGACTCATGAGGAGGGGAGCTTGCCAGAGTCTCGAGGGCCGATAGATCACGAACCTGTCAGGAGGGATGCATAGTTAGCCGAGGAGATGGGATGAATGCCATCATTATATTTTCCAGGCTGGCTGGTTTTTTAGCGACTGGGCCAGGCCGCGAGACCGCACTTGCTGGTTGATCAGACAACTGGTGGGCTGAGGGTACTGTATGATGACTTAACCTTGCAGAAGACCTATATCGGTAGTGGCCTCGCTGCGGCTCGACAGGCGACAAAGCAGGTTCGGGATTATATAAGGAGAGTTGTCATCTGATCGTTTGAGTTGAGTCGTTACAGACAGACGGAGTACGATGCATTGAGAGAGGTGGTGAGTGATCTTCGTACGTTTGTTGAGGGAAGGGAGACTCTGACTCTAGAGGAGGCTAGAGGAGGCAGAGGCGGTCCTCAGGATTTAGGAGAGAGAGACGAATGATTGGCAAGCCCAGGTTCAGAGAGTGCTCAGGGAGTATGAGTCACCTGCTGACGCGACAGATAGAGATAGGCTCGAGCGTAGGGTTGTCCTTGAGACCGTGCGATCATCTCAGTTGGAGAGCCAGATATCGAATTTTGTCAGGTTACGGCGAGAGACCGAGGAGCAGACAAAGAGGCTTTTCTATGAGGATGCGGCCATATCTCGATGGCAGGAGGAGGTTAGGATGAGGAGACGGACATGAGAGGAGCCTATGCCTGAGGGAGAGCGTATACAGGCAGAGGAGGGGCTTCAGGCGAGATTGTTATCTAATGCCTCAGTGCGAGAGTTGGCAGGAGTGATGGAGCATGTCAGGAGAATCACGCAGACCGAGGTGGCGCAAGGAGAGGTGCTCCAGGATGCGATACAGAGGATAGGTACTCTGGAACAGGAGAACAAAGGACTGAGGGACATGGTACGTGACCTCATCATCAGTGCTGGACAGGCGAAACAGTCTACCTCGAGACTCGAGCTGAGGATTACTGATCTAGAGGAGGGTCGGAGGCATCAGACCACGACAGATGTGGTCGACGAGAGGAGGACTGAGGAGCAGCAAATTCCTATCAGACAGGCAGACGTCTCTCATGAGATAAAGTCAGGTGGAGTGAGATTGGATACCCCTCGATGAGACTCGCAGACGGAGGAGCCACATGGGCCTATGGGGATGACATGTGAGGAGGCAACAGTTGTGGACAAGCTCATGCTTGAGCCGGACGAGATCGAGAGGAGGAGAGAGGTAGAGGCACGAGGTTTGGACTGGGTCCCTCCCTCAAAGTTGGCAGTTCAGAGGGATGCATGGCAAGGATCGGGGGGCAGACATGACGAGCGAGAGAGAGTTTCAAAACTACGAGATGTCATGTCACAGGAGGACACGAGCAGATCAGCGACAGTACTGCCGACGACTTTGCCACTTACACCAGCTTCAGCTTTGGGGCCGATGGACGACATAGTGCACCTCCTTTCTTCAGAGTCTGAGAGATGTGACGAGGAGGCGACGGCTGAGAGAGCCTCGAGGATGTTGAGTCCTGATACGGTAGATAGAGCCGTACAGGATGTGACAATCCGACTCGAGAGGGCACAAACTCAGGTCTTACCCAAGCCTAAAAAGGCGAAGGTAGAAGGCAACAACATCGGTGGTATGTGCTCATGGTGTGATAGAGCAGTGCACGACAGAGTTGCTTGTCCCGCCTTCCAAGTTGACCTCTGAAGGCAAGTCGTGCAGTTCGATGGACAGGGGTTAGTTAGGGATATTGGTGGCGCTCGTCTCCCGACAAGACGTCACAGTGCTAGGAAAGTTGTGTATGATAGGCTAGGCCTGGAGCTGAGGGAGGATGAGTGACAGATTACATGACCACGAAATGCATGAGGAGCCAGATTGTGAGATCAGAGAGAGGGTCGTTGAAGACAAGGTGATTGTTATGGGAGATAGACCATTGGGCTCGTTGCATATTACTTGTATCTTCTACTTTGAGGGCTCGGAAGCAAGGACTTGTTTACCTCATGACTTGTATATTGAGAGTTTTTGACTCCAGGCTTCGGGTCCGAGCCATATACTATATGTAGTTGGTGACTGGATTTGACACGTGTTTCGGTCGACTGTACATACATGATAGACTACTAGTTTTCGTAGGTTGGTTTGAGTAAGGGTTTCAGAGATTGCCCTAGGCATGAGAGTCCAGATTCGTGTGAGTTCTTTGTGAGTTTTTGTGTGAGTTTTGTGTGAGATTTGTGTGTTTGGTGTGAGTATGTGTGTGATATGAGTATGATGTTCAGGAGAGGACCTTAAATTAGTGAGTGTCTTTGCAGGTTACATTGTTTCGTCTATGGGCATTGCTCCAATTTTTGGATAATGATACCTACTTGAAACTTTCGATTCTTCATGATTGATTCCGAGATTCGGAGTGTATTGCGCAGATGTATCCCACGAGATACAATACTGTGCAGGATTTTCCTTGTTTTTAGTTTGAGTATGCCCTATTGTTGTTTTTTTTATCCAGGCATGTGAGTCTCGTGTGGAAAACAGGAAGCTATAGGATATTCTCACAGTGTGGACTTGTGCTCACTTGCCTTGCATTTGTGATGTTTGTACTTGTTTATCGATTGTGAGTGGGTTGTTTGATTGATTGAGCAAATGGTCACTGACCTTGATTGTATATGAATCATTGTGTGAGAGTCAGTGAAAATTGTTCGACAAAAATGCATGGAAAAAGGTTGAACCGAAAGAGCAGCCTAAATGTTTAATGGGAAGGGGACCGCTTGAGGAGTCACCCGTATGTCTCAAAGGAGGGGGGTCATTTTGAGGAGCCACCTATTTTTTTGTATGTGAGATGAAAGCAAAAATTTGTGATATTAACTTGTTCCGTGGAAATAAATAAACCTTTGATTTTTGCAGAAAATTGTCAGTGGATAACCAAGCTTGAAAAAATATGTTCATATAATGAGGGGTTTCTCTGAAAAAGAGAGACTTGTTTGTGAGGCTCTGGGGCTGGCGGTCGCATCTGTCATGATAAAGCAGAACGACTGCAAGCATTGAATGTTGGACCTGCCATATACTATATGTAGTTGGTGACTGGATTTGACAAGTGTTTCGGTCGACTGTACATACATGATAGACTACTAGTTTTTGTAGGTTGGCTTGAGTAAGGGTTTCAGAGATTGCCCTAGGCATAGAGTCCAGATTCGTGTGAGTTTTTTGTGAGTTTTTGTGTGAGTTTTGTGTGAGATTTGTGTGTTTGGTGTGAGTATGTGTCTGATATAAGTATGACGTTCAGGAGAGGACCTTAAATTAGTGAGTGTCTTCGCAGGTTACATTGTTTCATCTAGGGGCATTGCTCCAATTTTCGAATAATGATACCCACTTGAAACTTTCGATTCTTCATGATTGATTCTGAAATTCGGAGCGTATTGCGCAGGTGTACCCCACGAGGCACAATACTGAGCAGAATTTTTCTTGTTTTTAGTTTGAGTATGCCCTATTGTTGGTTTTTTTATCCAAGCATCTGAGTCTCGTGTGAAAAACAGGAAGCTGGGATATTCTCACAGTGTGGACTTGTGCTCACTTGCCTTGCATTTGTGATGTTTGTACTTGTTTATCGATTGTGAGTGAGTTGTTTGATTGATTGAGCAAATGGTCACTGACCTTGATTGCATATGAATTATTGTGTGAGAGTCAGTGAAAATTGTTCGACAAAAATGCATGGAAAAAGACTGAATCAAAAGAGCAGCCTAAATGTTTGATGGGAAGGGGACCGCTTGAGGAGCCACCCGTATGTCTCAAAGGAGGGGGGTCATTTTGAGGAGCCACCTATTTTTTGTATGTGAGGTGAAAGCAAAAATTTGTAATATTAACTTGTTCCATGGAAATAAATAAAGCTTTGATTTTTGCAGAAAATTGTCAGTGGATAACCAAGCTTGAGAAAATATGTTCATACAATGAGGGGTTTCTCTGCAAAAGAGAGACTTGTTTGTGAGGCTCTGGGGCTGGCGGCCGCATCTGTCATGATAAAGCAGAACGACTACAAGCATTGAATACTGGCTCAAGAGTATTTTGGGAAGTCTAAGTCGGGGGCTAAATCGGTATTGTTGGGGCAACCCCCAACGTGGGTTGTTGTCCCGCCTAACCAGGACAGCGGACCCCTAGCTTAACCTGAACTTAGAGACGGAGGGGTGACCTACACCATCATCCATAAGATATAATATATATAAGCGGGGTATTATGATTACTATTGTTATTTACTACTTATTATTATTATTTATTATTATTATTATTATTTATTATTATTATTATTATTACTATAATGATATGGGAGGGCTAAATATTTAAGCCAAGTATCGGGTCACTCCAAAGGCTCTAACTAGGACGACAGCTAGGGGGTACTTAGGTCTAAAAGTTAGAAAGTCGCCTTAGCATTGTGCAAACAATGTAGGCAACATCGTGGCTTAATGGCACGATAAATGGTGGTTTGGCCTGATCAGCTAAACTATGGTGGGCCGAGGGCAGGACTATAAACCCACCTGTGACTAGACGCAAGATCGGGCTGAGTTTTGACTTAATTGCATGGAGTGGGCTACGTGCAACACTATGTGTATCACAAGTTAAGCTACTCAAGAGGGCGTGTTTTTTGTATGGTAAGCCACCTAGAGGGGTATGCTACCTATTTTTTAATTCAGAATGAACCACCTAGAGCAGTGAGTTTTGATTTTGCCGAGCTACTCGAAAGGGGTGGGCTACCTGCGCTTGTTCTGTGCTGCAGTTTGTCCCACTCACGGCAATTGTCCTGCCTAACCCGCGCCCGAAAGATGACAGCTTCTTGATAGCCCGATTCAGATGACACCCAACGAAAGTCAGAAAGCGTCTAGGACAAACGGAAGGGTTTGGTATTTAAACACTGAAGTTAACCTAGGGTGGTAGTATAAAGAAAATATCCCTGTGAATCACACAGGAGGTGCAGGTTGGACTCCTGCTCGCCATAGGAATGCCGCGGAACTAGAGTACCAAACTCCGAACCGAGTCTTTCCGATTATACGGATTTGGTTATCCATCTGCTCAGTCTATGCATTTGCCTATGTTTTTATTTATACTTTTTAACCCTTACGCGACGGGGACGTCGCTTAATGTGGTTTGGGAGGACTTTCGTAGCAAACACCCTTACAAGGGTATTTGTCGTCCTTTTTAAAGTCGCACTGGGTGCGTCCTTGATCAACATAATACGTTAATGGGGCAAACCCCGTCAGGGCGCTCACCTCGGCAACATCGCTTTTGGCGAGACTCCAACTCGAATACGGCCAGATAAGAAAGTGTGTGGGGCTCGCATTACTGCGTTGCATGGTGAGATAATCGTTAGTCATCGACAATACTAGGCTGGCGAAATGGCGCCAAAGCCGTAGGGACCGATTACTCTCCCTTCTATAGTTTTTATTATTGATTATATTTTCTTTTATTTTATAAAGACCTGCTTTACTTTGCAACTAAGTTCGGCCTTTGGCAGGACACGGCGCGAAGAGGATAAAAAATTTACCTTGCGCACAGGCAGGAAGTTTATGTTGGACAATGCGTCGAAAGGCGCGGCGTTGGCAGACCTAGTCTGGGGGAAAGTCTGGAAGTTCGACAAAGTATGTCATGCGCCCGACGACCTGGATACTAGGTGACCACAAACCTAGCCGCGGGCGGCGTCTTTTGACGGTCAGGAAGTTGGCCGATAGGCCAAGGCGGAGGCCTGGTTTGTGCGGGTAAGACCAATCACGGTCCCACGACTACTCATACGCAGGTTCACACTTACCTAAAGTAGCCTTCGACCTAGTTCTAATGGTTACGGTACTGGACTTTCAAGCGACAGGTTTGGGGTTCGAGGTCAGCAAGCGGCGATGGAGCAAAGGAGCGTGACCGACGGAGACTAAGGGGTCGAGGGTCTTAAGGGACTATCCCCCTTGGTTTTGCCGGACAGGCCCAAGCCTGGGTTCGACTGGCAAAACCAAGAGGGCATCGGCAGGTCCTCGTCTTCTTCAATTCTACTGTTTTTATTTTGCTGAGTTATTTTTATTTATTTTATTTTCTCAATTTTTCTGTCTGTTGACCAGGCCGGAAACTGGCCCCAGAGCCCACGGCAAAGGAGTACCACAGGGAAGGATGAAAAGAACTTCAAAAAAAAAAAAAAAAAAAAAAAAGAGTGCTTGAAATTGTTGAGCGAGGAGCGGATGGAGGCTAGTTGTGCTCCCGCAC